GTAGGGAAAAGGCAGGATTTTTTATTGGGTTTGCTTCTCTACCATGGGCCTTATCTCATTGTCATGCTGTGCTGTTGTGCTAAGCTGAGAAAGTGAGACAGATACTAGTGACCCAAGCTCCTTCTGCTGCATCCCTGGTTTGGACACTCCTGAGCTTTTTACTGGAAGTTACTTAACAGCCCATGTCTGCTCTGTAGCTGGCCCTAAAATAAGAAAACCAGGAACAGCACAGATTTTGTGCTGATTGATCAGAAAATGCAAATACACACAACCTCATTCTCAACCAGTGGAAACCAGCCCAGCTTTTGGTTGACAGCTGGGGGAAGAGATCTGTTGATTGGAAGTGCACATCTATACCAGAGCAGCAAACACTTTACTCCCCATGCTACCTAGAAATGGTGTGCTCACTTTGCTGAACAGGGGCTTTATGGCCGGACCGTAATTGAAGACATTATTGCTGAAAGGTGAGGGAGCATTTAGGGAGGAGGGGTCCAACACACTATGGCGCTGTGACTCCATGAAGTCAGTCCTGAGGTCAGCAGGCTAGCTCGAGCCTGGATTCATAAGCCAAGAACAGCAGAGCTGATTTGCTCTCAGAGAACCAGCTCTGCTCTCAGGCTACATCTCGGCTCCAGGTGAAGCTTGAGAGATGGTATTTTACCAGCTAAACAGCCTGCTGGGCTCCTCATGAAAGGTGGTATGCAAAGGGGCTGGCATCTGAGACAGAAGAAGAGCAGAGAAATGGTGGTGTCATCTAGCACTTAGAGGCAATGCTGACCTCCACCTTCAACAGCAATGATAACAGGGACACCTTGAGCCCTGCTGGACAAGGGAAACAATGGGAAACAATGTGTTGACCCCACATCCAGCATCCTTGGAATGATACCTATTACTGCCAAAAGTCCAGGGAGCTGGAAATACCCCTGGCATTGTGTAGGTAGGTCTTAACAGGACCTCTCCTTTTCCCTGGCAGACAGGAGACAGACAGCTAAAGAAGTACTGCACAATTAGTGGTTTTATGACATAGAAAATTCGATGACAAAGTCCTTCAGTAAAAACCATGTGATCAGTCCTTGCTTACCAGTGACAGAGGAAACAGCAGCTCCTGAGCATGTAAACTGCTGCTGCTGCCAGGATGAGGACTGCAGAGGCACAGGAGGAGCTCAGAGCCTTGCAGGGTGGAGAGAAGAGCCAAGCCATGAAGTGAGCTGCTGGATACAGTCATATGAGCAACTGCAGGATGAGAGTGCCTTGTGCTGGCATCAAACTGTAACACCATAAAGGGAACAGCCAAGCAGTCAGTGCTGGCTTATTTACCCACCACAAAAAGATGAACCTTGAGTTGTGGAACTACACAAATGCTACCACGAGTTCATCTAACTGCTTCAAAGTCAGTTCACCTATATCTATGCTTTACCTGCAGCCGGTTTGGGAAATGTGATGTAAGGGGCCCCAGGGGGAACAGGTTGTAAGGTGGAGAGATGGGACATGTTCCTCCCACCCAAAATGCTAACTGATATTTCAAGGTCTCACTAAAAGGTTGAATTAGCTGTAATCTCTTCCGCCTTTAGTCTCTGCATTCAGACAAGCAGAACAGACAACCTCATCCTCCTGCATTCCATTTTCCCCCTGAGCAGAAAGATGGGCTTCATGTCAAAAAAGCAGCTAAGATTCCCCCATTTGGAGGAGATGGAGTAGTGCAGACCTATTTTTATTATATATAGTTGTCATCTTCTGTTACTGCATCTGTGTGAGACGTGCTGACTATCACTTCTGTAGCTGGGAGTGATGAGCTCTCTGAGGCAAAGGAGACTCCCAGCCCACTGTGGTGATCATCCTTGTCATAATCTTCTTCCTCCTCGTCCTCATTATTCTGCAGATCTTGGTCACTGTCATCATCATCATCTGCTGCATTGTCCTCAATCACTTCAACCCTCTCGCCAGCGTCTGGATCCACATCAGTCTTAAACCACACAGCTTTGTAGCCGTCATCTGCCACATGCCTGTCTGTCTTGAGGATAGACTTCACTTCTTTCTCATGCTCAGCCTCTTCTTCCATTTCTTCCTCTTTCTCTTCCTGGTCAAAGATGATGGTGGAAGCTACAAAAGCCTCTGGGAGGCTATCAATTTCTTCTGCATTGGAAGAGGGCACGGGAAGTGCTGGCTGCTCTAGCACATGTGTCATTGACTGGACACTGCCATTTTCTGATATCTCATGCTGTTTGATGCTCACATCTGGGTATTCATCTTGCTTGTAAGATTGGTTCTGGTAACCTCCAGAGGTTTTCTTGGAGAACTACAGGAGAAGAGGCACCTTGTGATCACAGTGAACGGAAAAGAAATGCTGGGGGTGAGGGGAAAGGGTGAGGGGAAAGCTCCTGCTCAGGAAAGCTTCAGCTTGTTTTGCAGTTAGACCTATTTGAAGCCTGGAAAAGTTCCCCAGAACAGCTATTTTTTATTGAATTCTGAATTTTTTCAGATAAGCGCGGGCATGTTTTCCAGGAGGGGTGAGCACCAGCAGTGTATACTGATCTGTACCCATCCATTTGAGGTATTACTCTGGAGTGGGATTTACCTCACTCACGGTGAAGCTGAGCTATGTGCTCTGGACTCACATTGTAGTCAGTGGAGTCTAGGCTCCTGACAGTCCCATCCTAAGGGACAGAACAACATCTGGTCAGAAGAACTACACCCTAAACTTCAAAGTAACTGGACTGCCAGGGACTTGAGGGAGCCAAAAGTAAGTATCTCAGGTGTAGATAACTGTCTAAGCGACAGCTTTAGGGTAGGATACAAAGGGACCTTTCTCTCCATTGATTATAGAGGGAGGATGAAGACCTTTATACCACACACAGGTTTTTCAAAGATTACCTGTGTTATGTGCCACATTCATCCTAGATTTTGTGCTCTGTGGAGCTGTGGTCCTCTTCTCACCATGTGTGCTCATCATCTACCATACAGCTCCAGCCTCAAGGTGCAGAAAAGAACAGCAAACACCACCAAAGAGATGCTACCTTTGCAAACGTTGTCTCAGGAGTAATTCATCACCTTCACACAAAAATGTGTATGGGACAGCCCATCCATAATTTAAAGCCTCCTCAGATTCCACTCTCTAACTCTAAGAAATTTAGGTACAATCAAGGCACTTACCTTCTTCCTTATCAGATATTTGACTGGTTTTCCATACTGCTTACATATCATCACTCCAAGGAAGACTAAGGCAATTAATAGCAGTGCTGCTAATGTACCACCTAAGATAGCCATATCCTGAGCAGTGTGTGTCTTATCAGACGGGTTTACAGCTACAAGAAAAACAAACCAGTATTACAAAGCCTAAAAAATGGCAGCTAGCTTTTTTTAACACAACAGTTCATTGGGGAGAAGCTCCAGCCAATTTTTGAAGGGCAAAGAAGCATCCTGTGCTGCAGAATCTGACAGTGATATATTTAATGTCCCAGAAGGCCATTTGTTTGCTGTCCTAAACACAGAGTCTTGGGTTTTTTTAAGGTGACTGCTCGCAGAATATTATAACTTCCAATAAGTTACATAAAGTGGAAATAGCACCCATTTACAGGACAATGACTTGTACTCCATAATCTGACTAAGCTAATACATATGTGCCTGTATTAGGCAAGCAGTTGTTGCATGGAGTAAAGCTGGGTAGGGCTTTTACTTTCCCACTTCATCCATTTACACCTGCATCCAAAAATGAGGTATGTTTGTACACAAGTGTGTGACAATGCAAAGCTTCCTTTAATCCAAAACATCACCTCTGATACTGATGAGCACATTAAAATAAGAAATAAAATAGCGTACTAGGAAATAGTAAAAGCATTAGAAGGTCCCCAGGCCAGGAAACCCTTTCCTCCTCCTTTGTAGCTGTAGCAGTATACACCAGCCTTCTCAGGAGCATCTTATGCTTTCAGCCACTCGTCAGTGTAAGCAAATTTGTACAGAGATCAACATTATAGTCAAGACAGTAACTTCCTCGGGGTTAATCAGCTTTGCTTGTTGTTGTCAGTGGGATTCTTTATTTTTAAGTTTTCCAGCTTAATTTTGTGGTATAAATTAAGTCTCTTTAAAGTTTAATAATTAATGAAACAGATATTTTCTCCTGCTGACCTGCTTATGACAATGGACTTTGAGTATTCCCTCCACACTTGATTGCACCTTTAGTTTATCATTAATATGTTGGTGAGGGTTTAGAACGTCAAGGAATTTTTTCTTCTTGATCTCATCTCCTAGGAAGCCACAGCCCACAGCGCTGATGTGAAACTCCACCGCCCTTCACTCCTGTGCTGCGCAGCACACAGCGCCTGTGTGAAAGCCAGCTCAGCTTGGTGGAATGACTCACTCTGAGATCGGTGTGAGCTGACTCTGGCGCCAGTGACTCAGAAACCAGAGTCCAACATAGAGTTACCACTTCCCAGAAGGAGAGTATATTAGAAACAACTATAGTTTCTCTCTGGGTGTTGGTACGCTCAGTAAAGCACTCTTCAACCTGTTGCATGCACATAGAGTTGAGGGTTAAATATACTACAGATTGGCTAGGCAAATGGTAATCCCAGCTCTGTTTAGGCCATTCCTGCATGCTGGCTATAGTATAGAATAAAGTACAATTCCTCTCATAGGCTCAGAGCCATTCACTGTAATTTCAGTCTACTTTTTTGCAGAGTCACTAGCATTATTATTTTGTGTGGTTTAAATAGCAAGGGCAATGTTTAAAAGTTGTGTAAAAGTACACCTGGTACGACTGCTTGGAGCATTTGCAGCTCTGTGTACTAACACCTGAACTAGCTTACTGCTGAGCTGGAATATCCTCTTAAACTGGGTTCAGGTAGTTTTTATGCAGCCAGTGTTTCCAGCTGTGAAGTGGCAGTACCTTTAGGAAATCCAAATTTACACCCAGGAGCCCACTTTTTTTTCTCCTTCAGAAGTCCCCATGACAGCCATGGCTCAGAAGGTAAAAAATATAGAAAAACCCAAGTGGGAACTTCAATCCCATCATCATATAGAAATCAATGGTGTCTGGGCATTACCTGCCTACCCTGATGTGAAAATGCATGATACTGGTTCATCTTCATCCAAAGCATAAGCAGTGTCATAAGCTTCAAATATAACTGATCTATAAGATCTATTTAAGAGCCATCTCTAAGAAGTATGGAAGTGTAAGCTTTTTTATGCCAACAAAACCAAATTATAGCTGGAGGGTTATGTATGTAGCCTCATGTCTCTCTCATTTCTCATGGGTCATTTCTCCTGGGAAGACCCTAAAATCTTGGAGTGTAAGAACCTGACCTGAGTAGAAAGTGCCTTGGCTCATGAGGGAGTCTGGCTTTGTGAGGGTTTGACAACTTCTGCCTGCTCTGCATAAGACTGGAAATAATGTTGCCGTTTTCTCTGGATTTGGCTATGTACCAAGGTGTCAGGGCAACCCTACTTTGCCATGATAAGACATCCTGGGTTATTTCTTACCCACAAAAAAAGCATGAAGCAACCCCAGGTTATGTGTTGGAATAACAAGAAAAGATGCTATAACACACAGCACTACTAAGTCTCAGGAGCATGTTTGAGGCATGTGGTGACCACATCATAAGGTGGTTGGTTGAGTGTTTTCTCTCTTATAGCCACTGTAGAACCTCATGTAGCTCACCCTCAGACTTCAGCGGGTGACCTGTCATTGCCAGTTTGCCAACAGAAGTGGAAAAGACTCCCCACTAATTCCCACAAAGCAGAAAACAAGGAAACACCCAGCCTACCTGCTGCAAGGATGATGTCCACCACAATTACAGTGCTTGCCTCCTGCAGGCTCACCGTATCTTTTGCAACAGCCTATGTGAACATGTGAAAGAGATAGCTTAGGGACTTCCTAGACTTCCAGTTCTCTTTCAAGGTATGTGGTGGGCCCTTTGTGGCCAAATCCTCACCACATCCTCACAATATCCCTGCACTTGGGGTCACAGAGGAAGAAGAGATCTAAAGAGTCCTTGTCCTGCACCAGAACCAGGTGCACCATTTGTGTACAGCTTTGCAGCACAGTGCTCTACACAGATAATGAGGTGTTGTGGGCAGGCAGCAGCACGTGTTGGCACCTCTCTCTGCCCTGCCCATGTAGCTAAAGTAATGCTATAGTCAAGCTGGTTCTAATAGCTCCATAGGGTATGGCATTGTGCTAGGCAAGACTTATGGAGCCAGTTGTCACTGGCAGGCAGATGGACAAAGCAAACATCTAGCTTCTCAGGAAGCCTAAAATTATTAACCACTTCCTTTGACCTGAGCAAAAAATGTACTGGATTTACCAAAGGATTTCCAGGTTTGAAGCCTTTAGAGTTGAGGTATATGTCAACAATCATACCCTACTCTTACCTACACATCAACCTCCTACCCACTTGTTCACCTCCTTTTTTTTGTTAATCAGAATTTAAGTGTGGGAGGGTGGCTCCTAAAATCTCCCCAGTTTACTTTTTGCTAGTCTCCAATTGTATTTTCCACAGGACTGGAGAAACAATTTTACAGCTAGCAACAGATAGAGCCTGTATCACATGGAGCAAATATGTTACCATTTCATCTCCCACCATGCCTATACATTTATGATGCAAATGGCTGGGGCAAGGACTGTCCTTTCATTATGTCCCTTACTCAGTGGAATTCCACCCTTGGTGCTTCTCTACTAAAAACTGCCCCTTCCTTCCACGACCCTGGCAAGATAATGAAGAAAGTTGCCCTACCTCAATGGTTACGATTCCTGGTGACTGTAGCACCACATTTGTCAGGATAAGTCCATCTTTGGTCGCGATGAAATCAGTGCTGTTTTTTATGTAGTACTCAATGTTTGGGTTGACTTTCTGAAAAGCCAGAAGAGTGAATGATTAAATCACACTTTGTGCTTTGCATGCATCTTCATAACAACCCATTGGCAGGACTTGACAAATACACCTGAAGTATGAGCAGGTGTATAGGGCAATACATAAATCTTGACTGAGGTGAGAAAGGTTGAACTCAAGTGTGTTCACCCTTCTGCTCAGAGTTCAAGAATGTATCCTAAAAGTGTTGCCTCCAAAAAAAATCCCAAGTTTTACCCAGCTTGTGTTGGTGTCTGTAGTATTTGCCCAAGCAAAACACATCTATGCAAGAGACCTTGTAAATTTTATCAGTTCTGCCTTAATACAGTGCCAAAGGGGTTGTACATTGAGGACTTGACAAATACACCTGAAGTATGAGCAGGTGTATAGGGCAATACATAAATCTTGACTGAGGTGAGAAAGGTTGAACTCAAGTGTGTTCACCCTTCTGCTCAGAGTTCAAGAATGTATCCTAAAAGTGTTGCCTCCAAAAAAAATCCCAAGTTTTACCCAGCTTGTGTTGGTGTCTGTAGTATTTGCCCAAGCAAAACACATCTAGAGAGACCTTGTAAATTTTATCAGCTCTGCCTTAATACAGTGCCAAAGGGGGTGTACATTGAGAAAAAGACTTGTGCTGAGGTCTGCACAATGTTTTCCTTTGTGTCTAGGCTGTTATTCCTCAAGTAGGTCCCCAATCTTGTTATGAAAGTCTTGGCATCAATGAAACTAGCACTTTTTTCTTTAATAGGGCTGGATGGGAATGGCTGGTCAGTACATTTCTTCTCTTTTCCTTCTCCCAGTACACTGTTCAAGAATGGCTCTCTCAAAATGAGTCCTTACAGGGAGAAGGTTAACAGCCCAGAACTGCAGATCCTTTCTAGTCTGCTGTCTTTGGACTGGCTCCTCTTCCCAGGCCAGCCCACAAATAGTTCTCCTTGACTTGGCAGAGAGACATCACCTCTGCCTGGGATCCTGCCACCCCGAACTCTTCAAGGAAACGCTTCACCCAGCCCTAAGTCAGATCTGGACCCATTCACAGTATTTGCTAGCCCTGGGCTTTACTCAGCATGCTGTTTTGCAGTGGATTAGTTCACCTACATAGATCTGGGTGGGACTGGCTTTTGAAATAGAAGAGTCCAGCAGCTCCTCCACACTACATCACACGACATGCAGTTCTGATCTGTGTCTAATTTCCAGGGCAATATAATACAGGACACTAGAGGAAAACATGTGTTTGCCTCTCTCCACCTCCCCTTCCCTATGTTTTCTGATGCTGCTTTAAGCTTGAAGCAGTGAGAAAGAATGCAGTGCATTTTCAGTTTCTTACATTAAGGAAGTCCTCATCCATTGCTGTTATCATCAAGGGGCTTGAAGGTTCACCAGCTTGGAAGACAAAGCTTCTCGGGGCCAGACCAACGAATACTGTCCCATTGTAGATCCTGTTCTCAAAGTGCGGTGGATAGTTACTTTTATTGATGACCTTAATCTCTACATTGACTACAGAGTATTTCTGTATGTTATTGACCTGGGTGGCCTGGAGAGAAAGAGAAAAAGAGAGAGATATTATTGCCTTTTCCTATTAGTGTTGAGACATAAAAGGATAGGCTTGATCTGAAGCCTGTTGCAACTTATGGTGTTCTTTCCATCATTTTCAGCGAGCTTTGAGCCTGTCACAGGTGGACTCATGGTTTGGCATCCTTATGTTTTAGCTTGCTTCTGCTGTTGGCCCTTCACACAGTCTTGGTCTAGCCCCAAAGTCTAGATGTGGCCCCTTATAGAGTGCCACATCTGGACAAATTGCCATGCTCCAGTGCAAAGCAGTGAGATTCCAGCACCAGCAGGCATAGTCTATTCATCTTAGTGAGGGTTCGGGTCAGTTCAGTTACTACCTGAAAGTCCACGTCTTCCTAGGTATGCATGTGCAGGGAGTGCTTCTCAACTCCCTCTTTTCCTCTGTAGCCAAAAGAGGAGCTCATCTCTAGGGTTGAGTTACGTTAACTACTGTAGCACAAGCTCTAGTCATGCCTAAAGAAAGCCTTCCAGTTATGCTCCTCCATACTTTCAACTCAGCAGGGTGTCTCTGTTCAGTTAACTTGCTTTGATGTTGCAACCCACACATAAAGGAAAATGCCTCTTAACCCCTGCAAGAGCTTTGCATGTAAGCTGATGAAAGACACTAGTTAAATACTAGGACCTTTCAGAAGAAAAAGAGTTAGTGTTAATTATTAATGTCATTAATCAAGTGTCACATTGAGACTGCTGCTTACTAGAAATCCAGCTATGCTGGGTTGTTGTCTGTAATGCCATCAGACTTACCATGACTTGCAATAGGTACGAGTCTGGGGAAGTTACGGGTTTGTTCATAGTTAGATTTCCGGTGTCTGCATGCACTGAGAATACTTTGTCTGCATCTCCTAAGAAAATGGAAAGACTATTCAATCATCAAATGCCTTCATATATGCACCCGGAGCTCATTGATTCATTTTTCCACATATTAGTGACAATACCCGCAGGGCATAATGCTGTTGTCCTTGTCTGCCTGGCTGTTCCAGGAGCTGGGAGTGCTGCCCAGGGATTCAGAGGGACTCAACAGAAAAAAAGAATCAAGAAGACGTGTGTGAACCCAACCAGATGGGGTAGGACAGCAAAGCTTTGCATTTCCAGTGCCTAGGCCCAGATATAACCATCTTAAATTCTGCTCAATGTCTAGAGCCTAGAGGCTCTGGTGCAATTTGAGGGCAGAAGGTCTCCAGCTCCCTAACCCTACCCTGAACCCAAAACCTGACTAAACCCAAACTGCACTTCAGAAGAGATAAGGGAAGGTTTATTCCTATTTTAAAGGTAAGGAGCCAAGCTACAAAGAATAGATGGGTGGGGATTCATCTTGAATAGCTCTAGGCATCTAAAGGGAAGACATCTCTACGGGATCTTGTTACCTATATCGTGAAGAGAAAGTGGCATCTCAGTGCGTGATTTATCTGACTTACTGTGAACATTGGCCTCAGCATGAGCTGCATTCTGCTCTGGAAATGCTTATTTCTCTCTGCTGACTACAAAAAGGAGTGTAGACACAGAAAGCTTTTTGTAGTGATGTAGCAAGAGAAATCAGCCTCCTACATCTCTAATCTGTGTTTGAATCATAAAACCATCTATGTTTGATATATGTTAAAATACATGCAACATTTTTAGTTATCTTCCTCACTCTGAGACACTGTGGGCTGTATTTAGACAAGGACTACACTACATCCAAAATGCCAGTGGAATCTAAAGTTCTGTAATGTATTTATTATCAGGAAGATATTCACGGATGTGGTGCCTTGAGGCATAGGACAAAGGAGATAAACAAGTGATCACTCCACCTGACCAATATGATCTGTCTTCGCCTTGATAGTTATTCAAAATCCCACTATTGTTTAAGAAAAAAAATCCTTTGAATGAAATAAATGGTCCAGTCAATGACTGGGCAATCGGTTGACTGTACTGAAGTAATCTTTTTGAAATCAAGACTAAAACAGGGCAGATTAGACAGTGGCAATGTACCGGGGAATAAAAACATAATTCTTGGCAGTGAATGAAAATTATTCTGATGATGTGGGAATTTTAGGTTCAGATCAAAGACTGAATGAAAGTGGTATGACCAGACTAGCAAAATCAAGTCTAAAAGCTTAAAGATAAAGCATGTCTCATCTCCCAAAAAAACCCAGTCGTTTTGAAACAATTTTCATGGAGATTGGCTTGTGGGACTGTAATTATATTTTTCTTCCTCTCTGTACAGAGCGTTTCTTCTACTCAGTCCACAACGCTTTGTGGATTTAGTTATGTTTCTGTGGCAGAAAAAGAGGGGGAAAGCCCCAGGCCCTCAACTCTCAAGTGCCACGGAGGATGTCTCCTCTTGGCAGGCAATATAGGGAACGTGAGAGCAATGCAGTCTGTGGAAGGTGACAACTTCTACTCACCACCAACGATACTGTACACGATTTTTTCATTCAAAGTATAGTCTGGATCAATAGCATAGATAGGCCCCGGCTCTAGGATGAGTGGTTCTGTCTGCAATAACAAGGCAAAGCATTACATACCCCACTACGGCACCCAATTAGCATTTGCAGCATTCTCCCATCCCAGCATGGCTCTGATGGTTTTGTCTGGACAAAACAGCATCTATTGCTGGGAGATGGCTGTAGCCCGGGGCAGAGGTAAGACAGATGAGAGCAAAGGGTTTTCCAGCTCTCGCTTCTCCCGTGATGTGCTGCAGGAACAAGTACAAGCAATGCTGCCTGGGGTGGGGGAATCTCCACTTTCTAGGATGACAAACGCTTCCTGTCATGCTGAATCATCTGCATCTGTGACTGGAGATCGGCATGAGAGCATGGAAATTATTAGGCACTACCCACTGGGAATAGCATCTGGATATTGTTTGAGAATAGCATCAAGGGTATTGTTTGTTCATGTGTGCTTACCGACATCTCGGAGATATTGACCCTTCCCTTATAGGGGCTGCTGATGCAAATGCTATTATCCGTGTTAATGAAGGTACAGGGTAGGAACCAAGGTGGTTTGGTGTCAGCTTGTTCGATAAATATATTTATTGTTGCGGTAGCTGTGTTGGTGGTCTCAGTGCTGCCCACAGGCCTGTCCTGTACCCAAAGGCAAAGAATACTCATGAGATGCAAGTTTTATTGCCAAAAGAATAACCCATTTGCAGAAGCCAGTGACCCAGGGTCTTTTAGCTGTTGTAAATCCATTCTGTCTCAGGCCTAGCAGTTTAGGCAAGATTAGCTAAAGCAGTGAATTCTCTCATTCTGCTGACAAAGGTGGGCTAAATGCAAAGCTGGACACAGTTACTGTGTAATTATGGAGGGTGGAAGGCTGCTCCAAAGTCACCACCACCAATGTTCACTCTCCCTCCTGCCATCCAAGAGACGCCCCATTCAGACTTACCCTTCAGTTAAGAGAGGGCAAACGAGCCATTTTGTTCCTCCTTAAGAACTTACCCTTGCATACAAGACCAGCGTTGTCAATTTAAATTTATCATAGTCCAGTGCTTTTTGTAAATAAATTTCCGGGTTATTAACTCCTTTTATGGCAAAATAACCATCTGTGCCCTGGGAAATTAGAAAAAAACCACAAACAAACAAAAGAAAAACCCTACTAGCAGCAAGCTAAATAACAGACAAGTAGACATGTTCAAAATACTGCTCATTGCTGTGCTTGTCATCACTCGGACCTCTAAGCCTGGGGACCTGGCGGAAGAAGGGCAGTGTGAGAAGGCCAGATCTATTTTATCTTTGGTATTGCACACTGGAGTTGCCTGGCTTGTCAGAAAGGTTTGTTCATGTTTCTGCAAGTTTTCTTTTCCAAGATCCCCTGCTTCGCCTGTTTACCTGCTCAGCCTGTACTGGATGGAATCCTTTACCTCATTTATTTCCTACACTTAACAGGTTGCCAACAATCTTTAATTTTGGGTCTATGACAGCCAAGCAATCTCACGTCCATGCACAAAAGAGATCAAAAATGGCTCAGCCTCTGAGAGCTGGCAAGTTCAGTTGCCATAGGCTAGCACAACTGAACTTTGGAAACAACTGTAAACCTAAATTGAAATAACATAAGTTGTATTTTACTCTGTAACCTTCTGCACTTGCTTTGATTCTCCTTTAATCTTATGTCTTGAATAGAACTCCTCTGAATTTCTGAGTCCTCCTGGATTTACACCAATGTGTGAGTGCAAAGTTTGGTCCCATAGCTGAAATTTAAAAACTTGTGGTTTCTGTTCACAACCCTTAAAAACCCTGGGGTTATGGAGGCAGTGGAGGCAGAATGTCAGATACTACCTGCTCACTCCACAATGCTTTTTAAAAATACAGATATAATTTTTTGTTTTCTCTTGAATTTACTTTTTGTTTTTAGTTTGTAGCCCTTGCACTCTACGCTGGCATCAATTTAACTGTGCATACAATTCATTTCCCATGTTATCAAGCAAAACTCTTAAGAGCAGACAAACTAAGGAACTAAACGGGGACCTGGGGAAAGTAGAGACTTTGGCAAAGCCAAAGGGTCTCTGTGTGATCATGGGCAGCTCAAGTCGTCTCCACTCTGCATGGACTCTCTTGGCAAAGAGGACAATAACTCTTTCTTTCCCTATGCAACTCAGCACGGTTCTGAACTCTATGAGGTACAAAGGTCTCTCCTGATATGTTTACAGACCATCCCAGCAAGACTTCCATGGATCATATGGCTCAGAATATCCTAGATGATATACAGTTTATTCTGTACAGTGTAATAAAAATGTGAGCAGTAGAAGAACTCAATACCTGCAATGCTGATTGCTCTGTTCTGCTAACCAAACCAATGCTTGGAAAACCAAAATGCAAAAGAAATGCCTGTCCAGAAGCTGTCAGAGAACTAAATGCAGTGACCTTAGCCTCAAAGCTGGGGCTCTGATGAAATAAACACACAGACTTCTCCAGAGCTACCATTTTTTCCCCAAACAACAAAGATTCTCACCGGCACTATTGTTGTGAGTTCGTAAAATACGGTGTCCAGGTCAGCATCGCTAGCACTTAAATCTTCACGGGCTATGATGGTTGCATTCACTTTTGTATCCTGAAACAAAGTTGCTGTAGTTATTCTTTCTGTGAAATGGCCTGAGGACTTCTCCCTAACCCTTTCTTAGTCCCAGAGCACTGGGTAATCCAGTGCCCTCTTCACTTCTATAAAGTGCTTACCTCAGGAACAACTTCAGTGAGATTCGTTTGTTTAAACACTGGACTGTTATCATTCACGTTGAGAATGGTCACAGAAATTTCTAAGGAGTCAGTCTGCAGAAAGGGTAAAGCAAGAGAATCAAAGACAAAAATAAGACTGTTAGGGGCTGATCCTGATTTACAGAGGGAGCAGAGGAGATGGTGTAAGAAGTACAGCTGGATGGGGCTGGGGCTTGCAGCTAACCCATGACGGGGGGGGCTGTGGGTTTGTTCCTGTCCCATTCACAGAGCCCAAGGTGCTTTCTCTTTAACTGTGAGATGTCCACAAAGAAAAGGACATCTCATCCCGGTCTGAGGACTGAGAAGAGCAGAGGGAAGTATGTGCTGCCCTGCAGTGCCTTGTAACGGGGCTGAGTGTTGGGAAGAGCACTTACCTGCCCAGCAATGTCCCTGCAAATCAGGCTCACCAGCAGCAAGGCGTCGTTCTAGATGTAAAAACAAAACCTCAGCCATTGCAGAAACAGGCCAAAATGTACTAACTCTTACTAAAGTAAATGAGACAAATACATGCATTGCTGAATCAGAAATGTTGCTGGGATTTATCATGTTTTCAGACATATCTAACTTTTCCTTTCTTTCCTTTACAGCCATCCTTCAGTGCTGGGATCTTGCATTTGGTGGAGTCAAAGCAGGTCGATCTTCCAGCTTCTCTCCCTGTGTGTGGTTCCTGTAACATGTCGGCAGAGCTAATCGGCCATTTTCTCACACTTAAGGTGAATTCAAACAGAGATTTCTTTTTAAATTAAATGAAACAGAAATGTACCATGCAGAAAGCACAGTGTCGCCTGCAGGGTGTTACTTCTGGTGTTCTTCACTCAAAGAGATGTGGGTTTTTACAGTAGGAAAGGCAGTTTAAGGATGCCTGTGGCTGTGTACAGAGCGCTCCAGGAAGGTAAAATAATTTAGCAGCAACCTAACTGAATATACTGACCTTTTATACTGCCTTTATGCTTCACACAAGATCATCTCATTGCTCAGAGCTGTGTTTTCTACATCAAATAGGGATCATTTTACATGAGTCCTGGAGAGCTCTGAACGCTACAGTTGTCACATTTTTGGTTTTAAAACTTCCCCTTACTTTAATTCACACAAACTCATTGAAGGAAGGTGACAGCAGGCATACCACGCATCCCCCTCTTCCCTATACTCTGCTTGTGGAAAGGCTAACCTCCCAAGCAGTGAATTCAAACCCAGCTGAAACAGGTTCATTTTTCATTTCATTTTCATTTATATTTCCTAGATCCTTTAGAAACAGGTTATGAATCTCTGAAGTCCAAGACCCCAGGTTGAAACTCATTGCATCCCAGCATTATCCATCTCATCCTTATAGCCTGACAGCTAAAAGTTTACCTCATAATCCACACTTTGGCTCAGCTGCAGCTCAGACCCCTGTATAGTGAAAAATCTGGCATCGGCGGAAGTAGGATCAATCATTACAGTGAAGTCTGGTTCCACATGGATAGTGGTCACCAAATAGCCAGGAGGGTTATTTTCATAAATGCTTGGTCTGCTATTATCGACAGAACATCCTGGAAAAAACACAGACACAAAATTGAGCAGGGATTCACACTGTTAAGGAGTTGGGTGAGACATGACACCTCTCTGGTTACCGTTGGAGAGAAGGGCATTGAACAAAGCTGTCTCAGAAGAAGGGTGTAAACATCTCCCCCCTGTAATGGTGCTACCTGCTGTTGTGGGGGTTATTTCTCTGTGGTCATGGACCGCCTGCAAGAGCTTACCTTGTTGCTGTGCTGAAACCTGCATTACGAAGGGCAGCAGAAAGAGCAGAGAAGTGAGAAGCCAGTGAAAATCAGCCATGGTGAGCTGTCGGTTGTTGAAAAAATCCCGCTTTCTGATTAAGCTGATCTTTTTCTCTCCCTGTTTCTCCTAGTGCCGTCTTTTGTGTTCACTGCTTCATGATGGCAAAAGACATTGGCTGGCTGGAGTGGATTGCTGCAGCTCGACCTTTGCCTCTTTGCCTCATTGGATGACTTATTGAAAGACATTTACCAGTCACGGAACATGATAATATGTCGATTTCTGTTCCTACTTTGTTCCTGGATCTTTCCTATCATGAGGTCTCAGTAGCACCAAGCATATATTTGAATTCAGAGCATAAGCACAAACGAAGACAAGGGCTGACACTTGGCAAGCTGTCTGTATACTCCAGCCTCTCCCACTGAGGAGGAAGTAGGCAAATATTGGTTTCTGGTTTGCCAGAGATAGGGTCTCCTTTGGTCAAGTCATTTCCCAGAAAAAGGCATAATGATGCTCCTATCCACTCTGTATCTTCTTTATTTTAGCCAGGCTTTTTCTGCTTGGCCCGCATTCCCTTTTGCAACAGGGTTTACTCCCCAGCCCATGACTTAATTTCTCTCTTCTAGTCACAGTCCATCATGTTGTTCCTGAAAAACAGGCACTTTTTTTTTTAATTAAAAAGCTAGCTCTCAGGTGTCTTTTTTTCTGGAAAGGGCAAAGGTTTCAGTGAAGACAAAGCCATCTTGGCTGCTCTTCTCTTTGTATGGCAAACCAACTGCATGTAAGTCCATGGGTTGACATAATCACTTCTGTTTCTAAGACAATCTTGTTATTCCCAGCCATCCTACAATACCTCACAAAGTGAGCAGAGTGGATCTTAGACTGCGACAGGGCTCAGCTGCAGCCCAGTGACTACCTCTGCAGAGACAATGCATCTCCCCTTCTATGACTTGCCAGCAGTGGCTCTCTGTAGGGATGCTCCCCAAAATCTCCATCCAGGCTCCAATTATTTACATCTCAGCAGCTTCCTGAAGCCTTAATAGCATGATATTCTGCTGTCTTGTCCTGTCCTTTTCTGAGTAAATTTTTCCAAGCCAAATATCATGTGGCAAGGCATTTAGCCACCTGTGCAAAGAAACACCATTGTTTTCAACTTGCCCATTGAGTATGAGAAAGGAGACAGGTGCACTCACTGCTGGTCCTTTTAAAATCCTAATTGATTTCAGAAAGTTCTCAGATGCTGCATTTTAGCCAGATGGCTGTTAGTGGCTTAACAAAATACAGGCAGTCAACACTCCTTCCAAGAGGTCTCTTTCCTAGCAGACATTTCCTATGGACCAAATTAAACAAATGCCAAGGTCTGTGAGAACAGCACTTCAGCATCACGGTATGGGAACGAGTGCTTAGATGAACATTTGAGAGCAACTAGGTTCTTTGCAGGTGTCAGGTACATCATAAATGGTGAAAACTGATGGTGCAGAATGGACTGGGCAGTTCTGTGATAGGCACACATGATCGCAGCTGAAGATGCCTTACTTTAGAGCTGCCCTTCAAAATCTGTTGGTTTTACAGGAAAGATGAGAGTGGCTGTGTTATCACAGGGGGAATCTTCCAGGAAGCACGGTGCAGGGGCAACATGTAAACTTCATTAAATGATGGAAAAAATTCCTCCTAGTGGAGCTTTGTCTTTAATGGCTATGAGAAAGCTGGGCAGTAAATACGGGGGCAGAATGGAGCGGAAACAGTATTTGCAGTGTGTATGTATGTTGGATAGGTCTCAGTACATTTCTTTGCAATAAAACCTAGCAGCTGGCTAAGTTTCTGCTAAATGGAGGTTCTGATATTGGGCTCTGCTCAGTTGGATTGTGGGCAGTCCTGAGTCCCAGCTATGGAAGATGTGGCCAGGGACTCCAGATGGTCCCAACATGCCTTATGTTGGGGAAGCCTGGCAAAATACTTTTCTCCCCAGCCCTGCACTCCTAATGGTCCAACACCTGGTAATGGTACCACTCTTATTACTGTTTCCCAAAGAGCAGCCAAAGCATCGGCATAGCTAACAAATCTTTATTTGACTTCAGAAGCAGGCAGCCAGATGCTAACACAAAGTGGAAGTGATGTGCTTTATTCAGGCTCCATCTACTGACACCAGTTGACACTGACATACATTTAACTCTTGATAATCTCAGAGGTTTTATTGGGTTTTGGCTGCTTTCCAGAATTTTTTTTTTATTAGCGATCTCAAGAGTTTTTCCTAAGTAAATTCGATAGCTTCCTTGTTTATTTCCCAGGCTATGTACATGCAAAGCCATCTCCTTGGCTGTTTCTTTCCCTTCACCTTCAGGTAAAACTCTCTGTGTCTTCCTTCGTGTCTGCAACCAGTTGCTTAGAGATGGGGCACACGTACTGGCTGGTAATTGCAGCGGCTTCCCTGGCAATGCTCTCTGAGTGGCTGTTGGGAGTGAAAAAAATGGGTGATAGTTTGTTATTCCTGAGGGCACGGACTGCAGGAAGTGTGACAAGGCCACCTTGTAAATTCAAAACTTACTCCAAGGATCTGATGTATGATAGAGGGACCCAGATCACCTCTGCCTGCAGCCAAGCACTCCACACATGAAGAGGAAAGCCTGCCTGTGTTATCATCCCAATTTATTCTAGGCAGCACAGACAAGAGGTACTAAGGGTCAGCTTATTCCTTTTAATTTTAGTGATTTAATAGTGAGATGTCTAATTGAAAGTGGTTGGTCACTAGGAAGGGACAATGTCCAGGTGCTGGGACAGCCCATCCTGAGGTGTGTGTCCAAACCAAGACAGGGTAGCAAAGGCTTTCTATTTTAACTCTTAAAAGAGGTTTCCAAATGGGAAGAACAATTGTTTCAGTCTAGGAGGACAACTCTATGATTACAAAAAGACATTATTTTGATTCCTTGGGTTGTTTTTTTTTTAAATAACTGTTTTTTATATGGCACTTCCTAGCTGTAAATCTCAATGCCAGCTTTGCATTAGGTAAGGCAAAACTGAGTACCAGGTAAGCTTGGAACATAGAAATAGAGATTACCATGAATGCAGGCATGGAATTCAATTGAGATTGCACACAGCCACATGCCACCTTGTAGTTAGATTGAAGCATTTGCTTTTCTAGCTCTGCAAACCAGCCCCTGGGAGTGTGGTTGCTGGCAGAGTGACAGGAGGTACAAAACTGTGTGATAGAGGGTTGCAATTCAGCCTTGACAGTCCCCAAGACAGTGCGTCACAAGTTGATGGGCAATGAGGTAGAAGTGATTTTAAAATATGGACAATTTAATAAATCTTCCACCCTGTCCCTTTTTGAGGATATTTTTGAGTATATCACAGAATCACAGAATCGCTCGGTTGGAAAAGCCCTCTGAGATCATCACGTCCAACCGTTCCTGTCTACCCCCTAAACCATATCCTTAAGTACCTCGTCTACCCGCTCTTTAAACACATCCAGGGATGGTGACTCCACCACCTCCCTGGGCAGCCTGTTCCAGCTTCTGACGACCCTCTCAGTAAAGAACTTCCTCCTTATCTCTGACCTGAACCTCCCTTGGCACAGCTTGGTGCCGTTTCCCCTTGTTCTATCCCCCATCACCTGGGAGAAGAGCCCAGCACCCACCTCTCCACAACCTCCCTTGAGGCAGTTGTAGGTGGTGATGAGGTCTCCCCTCAGCCTTCTCTTCTCCAGGCTAAACCCCCCCAGTTCCCTCAGCCGCTCCTCATAAGGCTTGTTCTCCAGAACAAGCTGAACCCTTCTGATCTACTGCATTACATCTGCATTTTACACTTAGGGAAAAAACTGGGCATTTTCAAGTTACCAAAAGTCCTCTTTTGGCTTCAATACTGTGGTGATCGAGGCCATAGAGGTGACAAATCTGTCTCACCTACCTGGCGTTTAGAAAGCTCTGGTACAACCACATAAAGCAAAGTTCCTCATGGCTGTTTTCTTCCTCTCTTCCTTGCACATCTGTGTTGACTGATCCTGGAGAGCTGGTTTAGATGAAGGAAAAAAATAAAATAAAATAATAATAATAATAATAGTGTAACCACCATAGCTGTAAAGCAGCACTGCTGGCTGCAAGGCAGGTTCACCCCTCCACTGACCTGCCCCACAGGCCATGTACTGTTAACCTGCTGACTATCCCCATAGCTGTGCAGGAAGAAAAGACGTATCCTCTTCAAACCAGGCTGAAATGCTTTCTAACTGGCAAAGGGACAGGTTTTAATATGCACTGGCACTCTGCCTCATTATGCAGTATTGCCATGCCCTTCCACCTTTTTCCAGCATTTGGAAATGAAAAGTCTACTGCATCTGCCAGAATTTTGGTAGTGATACATGCACCAGAAAATATCAAAGCACCCTGAATAGATGGGAAGAAATCAATGTGCTATGTCTCTGTCTTGAAGTAAGGACCGAGCTGGAAGGAAACCTCTCCAGGCAACGTTCTCCCTTCATAACATAACAGGAGCAAGGGCAGCATCAGCTGGGAGCTGTATCACAATGCACTACATATTATACCTCATGCTGTGCTCATACACGTGGCTTCAGTGAGAGCTAATGGCCTTGTACTTCAGCTGAATGAAAGACCACAATAGGTAATGTTGTTTTATGCTTAGAAACGGCCTCAGTGAGAAGGTTTGGGGATATTTCTGCTATCGCACAGCATCTCCAGGAGCAGCCTAGAGAGAGGAGACCAACCCCCAGTCCACTTGCCCTTGTCTTGAGTTTTCCAAACCGCTGGCCATGCCACCCCCCCTTTCCTTGGACCTGAGACCTCCCTCCCTGCACCCTGCATGGCCCAAACTCTCTTCCCATTCCCCAGGAAGCAGAGCTCTTACCTGCGCTTGCGGCCCATGAGATTCTGGATGAATTTCTGAACCTGAGCATTTCCTCTCATCTTGCTGTATTCACTGGTGAACAGTCCATCTGAGTGCCTCTGAGACCTGCATCGGGGAAAATACAGCACAAGAGCGGCTCCTCCCAGCCTTGCGATGTGGCACTTAACACAAACCACAGAAATTTCTCTCTTCCCACCATCAAGGAG